AATTTACCTAAGGTCCTAAAGTATACGCATAAGCAATACTCGTGTTTAAAGAAATATAAGTTTGCTGTATAACTCTCTGATTTTAGAGTGTTGGATATGAAAAAAATTAATGAGATGAGTTTTGTGTAGCATACATTTTGGAATAGTGAATTGATGAATAATATGTGGTTAAAAATAAAGGAAATATTTTAGGGTTACGTGTAATATTATTTTATTGAAAAATGTTTGATTGAAAAGAAGAAAAAAGGGGGATCAAACTTTTGAAAAGTTTGATAAAAACTGATAGAATGTGTGTTTGAAAAGTTATAAATCTCATAAAATGTATGATTAAAATTTAATTATTAACATTGACTTAAATTTAATTAACTTTTTCACTGAACCAAAAGCAAACTTTCTACAGCATTTGAAGTTTATGCTTCTGTGTATTATATGAAATTCGATTGAACCATATTTACATGGATGACGTGTTAAAAGTTGTGTCTCGATCAAGTTCACGCATACTTTTGACTTTTTGTAAACGAGTTGAACATACAAATACCTCGTAATATGATTTTTGAATTTTCCATATTTGTTCTATAGTTTTGAATTCTAAATTATAATGTCCTAAGAATATTTGTGTTTCAATTTAAGTATTAGGAATTCATATATTAATTGGACTCTCCTTATTGACTTATTAAATATTTCCATGATCTTACTGATTTGTTACTTCTCTTTTAAAAAGGTAATTAGTAAAAAAAGTGTCTATATCATTCAGTGTTACATAATCCGAATCGAATCGGACCATCCGATTTAGTCCTGAAACAGTCGAACCAGACCAAGGTCCGGCCGGATCGCTTATATTTATCAATGGACAGTAAACCCATTTCAAATCCATTGAACCGTCGGTTTTTTAACAAACTTGCTAGCCTATTTTTCTTTGAACCGACCGGGCCAATGTATGCCCACTTATTTCTCCTCGTGACTCATGGCTCCTCACAATTAACATTACCGATTCATTGTAAACCAAAAACCCTTTCCCATCTCTGAATTTCCTTACAATTCAACCACTTCCGAATGTCCGAATCTCCAATTTCAAGTTATAATAG